AGGCTCACTGAGCCATTTCTCTCTGCCCTTCAATTAACCCCACGTGTTCATCAGCCAGGTTGGCACAATAAACCTTAGCTATCTCAGAGAGCAATTCCTAAATACAATCACTCCTTAGGAAATACAAGAGAAAATACATGCAGAAAAAAGCCAAGAGACCTAAAGGTAGAGAAGTGAAAAACAGAAAGCCCTCTGTTTGTCCAGGAAACACCTTGTCTAACCCAACTTTTGAAATGTTTATTACTATGTGAGTCACTCCAATTATTTTCTGATTGCTATGGTAATAGACCATTTCAAACAAGCCTTCATTAAGAATCACCTCACAATTATCTTCATCAAAACCAGTAGCAGTTTTCGTGCTATTAACTTTCATGGAATATTTAATTCCAAGAAGTCAAGGAGACTTCGGAAGTCTCTAAATGAAGCCTCCAAATGTTCTGGACTGAAGATGAAGTACCTTGGAAAGATGACCAACCACCAGCTCAGAGGAAGTAGAGTCCTAGGTAATATTGAACTGCAGAAGGCATCTCGGCCAAGATGAATACAGAAGAGGAAGAGCACTGAGGACGATGAACAGGAGAAGCAAAAGTCCCCAAGTCACAGTGACAGTACGTGAACTTGAAAAACAAAGCCAAGAAGAATTCAGAGAAGATGCAGGGTACAGAAGGAAAGCTAGAAGAGAAGCAGAAACCAGCTTGGAAGCCTAAGGAAGGAGTTTAGACCTTACACTAAACTCAATGGGTAACAGCTGAAGGGCAACCATCCAACAGCTATTTTGTGAGTCTTCTTTGAGCATCATCACTAACACGAAATATGTGGCATTGAGCAGGACAAAGTCATAGCACCCACAGAATTTAAAATCCAGAGAGGGAAAAGCATATCACCGATCAAGGGATTGCAGACAGTGGTTCAGATTTGGGAAGAAAATAAAACAAAATCGTGAATAACCAGGCAAGAGGTGGGGAGCTACCTCAACTGAATATTTAGAAAAGACCACTCTGAGAAGGTTGGTGATTCATTGTATATATTGTTTTAGGGTACAAAAGAGACCCAAAATTCCAAATATAACTTAAAGAGAGCATGTATTTAGTCTTAAACAGGAGAAGACAAGGCAAAGAAGAGAACATATCATCTGGATGAGGGAGACCAGTAGCACAAGGTCACAATAGTGTCCAAGGATTTACAGAGAATGCATGTGCACTGGGTCAGCATTACAAATCCACAAGCTACTCCTCAGGAGAAAGGTGAGACTTTCTGCTGCCATAAAGATGTGAGCCCTGGTGGCACTATAGGATAAACATTGGTTTGTCAACCACCAAGTTAATGGTTCGAATCCATAACTTGCCCTCCTGGCCGAATCTACCAGACCCTGGAACTGTGGTTCTCTCTGTGGGTCATCCTTCAGCAAAATTAATAGGCTGCTCTATAAAATAAACAGCATCATCCATGAGTCATTTGCCTCCTTAAACAAAACACTGTATGAGTCCAGCTAACATTTACACAAAAAGAAAGATGAGATCTGTGTCAGTCTGGGTAAACTAGGGAAATAAATACACAGAAACTCATATGTATAAGACTTTTATATAATGGGTAAGTGTACATTAAGAAAGCATCCCAACCCAGTGCTGTCCAAGCCCACAAGTCCAACATTAGCCCATGTGTCTGACATCAATCTACAAAGTCCTCCTCCATCTTACAAAACACATGCGATGCCAACTGCAGGAGGAAAGCAGTTATCAGTGAGTATGGAGGCATCTCAGCGCTGGCAGGTGTCTCCACCCAGCTGCTCCAGCACCCAGGGCTGCATCAGGGTAAGTCCATGTGGCTGCTCCTCAGGGATGTCTTGCAGGAAGTGAGCCTTGCCAGCTGAAGCAGGGAACTGGCTAAGGCAGCTGCACCCTGGTCTGACCATCAGAAAGCGAGAACTAGAAAGGTGAGACTCACCGAGCCATTTATCTCTCCGTCCTTCAATCAACCCCACATGTGTTTATCAGCCAGGTTGGCACAATAAACCTTAACTATCTCAAGACCACAAGTAAGAAGCTAGATCAAGGGAAGCAGAACAGAATGGAAATAGCAATGCTAACTTATTGTAAAAAACATAACCGATGGCACGGAATAAATTTGTGTAACAATGATTAAAACAGAGCATAATTTTCTGTGTAAACTTTTCCCTAAAACACGGTAAAATATCATTTTGAATACACGAAAGCCTTTTCTGGATGTTTTTAGTATAATATCAAAGGTTGTAGACAACCCAAATAGAATAGGAGGAGAACCAAGACCTTCCCCAGAACCATTTCTCCAAGCAGTCTCCTCAAAATGCTCAGGAATACTTCTTAGTCTCACGTAGCAGGTACAAACCTGCCGGTAGGTTTGGCCTATTCTTTGGATAAACAAAACTAGATGAGCAATTTAAAGAAAAATAATAGCAGAGACTGAACACTCAAAACAAAATTTTTGGCAACACAATTTATTTTGCTTAGCTCACTTAGCGGACATTAACCGGGGTGCTTGAAAGTCAGTTCCACTACAATCCTCTGGAGTCCGTCGTCAATGATTTCGAGTGCTCTAGTCTCAAACACATTCCTTTCTTCTACAAACTTCCGAAAGAGATGAACACCTCCACCCACACCAAAATAATGTGCTTTGCTGGCTAAAAGCACCCGTCCATTTGTATCTAATAGTCTATGGAATGTTTGGTGCAGACTGCTGTAATAATCTGGATTGTAGATCGTTTCGGAGGTGAGAATAAGATCATACTTTATGAAGTGTTTTTCACTGTTGAGTACCAGGTCACAAAACTCAGACCATTCGCCAGAAAAGAAGCGGCATTGACCTAGTTCCTGTGCTAATTTTAAGCCCGTGACTCTTTTCGGAGCTGGTTCTTTCATGCCATCTTCTCCCGAAGGAGAGTTAACCACTACGTTAGGTAAGGTTACTTCATCAATCACCAAACTGTTGTAATCTTGAAAATGCACTTCTTTGGCCCCTCCCTTAAACGCAATGATACCTAGCAACCCGGAGCCACAGCCAAGATCCAACACTTTTTTCCCAGCAAAATTCACGTTGGCCTTTGTGAAATAAGCCAGGAGATCAAAGGTACACTCCCAGATTTTTAAGCCGCCTTCGTAAACACCGGTAATCAGGTCAGAGTGCGAAGAAACGCTTTGTGATACTATGTTTTCTTCAGGGAAGTTTTTTCCCAACAAAGCCATTTTCATGATGGACACAGAGACATGTGGGAGACCTGACAAAGTTTCCACAACTTTATTTTCCAACAGTTTTTTTAAATCTTGAGGCAAAGCATGCTCTTTGGCAACGCTGACACAGGGCTGCTTTCTGTGCTGCTGTAAGTTAGTTGAACTATGAGCTGCATTGAGTGGACTGTCTCTGAAAAGAGAGGAAGTTGCATTTCCCACTGGCTTGTGATCATAGAAGTGATTCTGTGACAGATCAAATTGCCCCGTAGAACATTTTCTACCATTTCCTTTTTGACTTTTTGAAACTGAATTTTTTGAGGAATCCAAAGTCAAATCTTCATCTCCCAAGGATGCTAATTCATCTTCCAAATGCTCTTCTATAGTGAAATTAAAGTGAAACGTCATCCTCACATCCAACACTCACACTCCTCAAATTCAGTGGAGGATTCTTCAATTCTAGATCGAATTTAACAACACACACAAAGCGGACTCAAATGTTCACTTCATTTTGTAGAAGTCAATTACTCATTGGCCACATATACAGTCACAAGATATTTCCAAATGCTAAATTAAGAGGTCCTTTTCACGTTAGTCCTGGAGAAAGTAAAAAATAAAATGATTATTAAAGCCAAACACCACATTTCCCTGTAATGCAGTACTAAATTTCCCCCTCTAGTGAACAGCCTTTCAAAAAAAGCTGAGGGCAGAGAGATGGAGATTCGAAAAACACACAAAACAACGGCAACAGCAGCACCCACTACCACCCAAAAATATGAAGTCCAAGATTTCTGGACAGGAAATGGCAAACCAAATACTAGGTGTCTTCTGGGCATCTTGACCAAACCTACTGACATAGTTGCTTCTGACTCACAGAGCCTCTAAGTATAGTTATTCTTTAAACTTCCAGAAGTTCCTCACATCAGTCAGTTAACCAACACACTGGCATCAGGTTGCTTTTGATTCGTAGTGACCCTGAAGGCCAGCAAAGAACTGCTGTTCTGGGTTTCTGAGGCAGAAAATTAAAAAAAAAAAAAAAAATCATTTTATTGGAGTCCTTACATACCATACATCTGTTATCTCAAGTGGACATGTTCAATTGAGGCCGTAAATCTTTAAGGGAGCAGAAAGCCTCATCTTCATCCCTCAGAGGGGCTGTTGGGTTTGAACTGCTGATCTTGTGGTAGCTTACACCACTTTGCCACCAGGGCTTCTTCCTCAGTTACTGTCTTCAAGAATTGAGTCTTTAATAGATGAACATATCTCTACAAACATGCATAGATTTGCTCTGGTGTATGTGCATTCAAATGACTTAGTCCTAAGCTATGGGAGTGGTGGGATTTTGAGGTAATTGGTAAAGTTGAATTTGGCGGTTGAAAATCCCTCGTCTAGCCTACCCCAACTCAAGGAGACTCCATCTGTTACAAGTTGAACTGAGTTTCACGGGGTTTTCTTGGCTCTAAGCTTTAGAATAGTGGTTCTCAACCTGTGGGTCTTGACCCGTTTGGGTTGAATGACCCTTTCACAGGGGTCACCTAAGACCACCAGAAAACACATATTTCCGATGATCTTAAGAACCGAGACACTGCTCCTCTATCCATCTCCAGGTGGGTCCGCCCCCACACGCTTCAAGACAAAATTTCATTTATTTGTAATTAGAAATAAATATTTCACAATATATAATGATGTATTGTTTTGTGATTAATCACTATGCTTTAATTATGTTCAATTTGTAACAATGAAAATACATCCTGCATATCAGATATTTACATGACAATTCACAACTAGAAAATCGCAGTGATGAAGTAGCAATGAAAATAATGTTATGGTTGGGGTCACCACCACATGAGGAACTGTGTGAAAGGCCTAGAAGCCGATTGCCAGGTCCTTCCTGCACCACTGGAGGCCTGGTGGGGTAGTGGTTAGCATTTCGCCGCTAACTGCAAGGCTTTCTGCTCTGCGAAGTCACCCTGTTGGAAACCCACAGGGGCAAGTCCTACCGCGTCCTATGGGGTCACTATGAGTCGGCACCAACTCCGATGGCAGTGAATTTGTTCTTCCAAAACACCACCGGGTGAGTTCAAACTTTCTACCGTTCAACTAATAGTCTAGTGCAAACTGTCCTGCCGAACAACACAATTTATTATGGCGTGGCCTTAGGAATCGTTGTACTTTTACGTACTACAAACAATACGAGGGGGCGCTTCAAAAGTTCGTGGACAAGTTTCGGTCTCTTTATTATACTTTCCCACCGTTTTTTCTTTCTTTCTTTCTGTGTGTGTGTGAAAGAATCCTCGCTTATCTTACCAGCTACAGTTTTCACAGTTCTAGAAGATGGAATGTTTTATGTACCCACAGAGCTTGCAATTATTTCTGGTTCAAGTTCAAGTTAAACTCAGCCCCAGGTAGGAAATCTCAAAACCCCATGCTACCGTGGGCAGCAACACTGTGGCATCTGGCGTTCACCACCCAAAGCGTTCTACTTACCCTGACGATCTCAGAGCGCCGAGAGCGGGGGACGCGCGCGGACGTCGTGACGGGGAGCGGCCCAGCGCCGCGCCGCGCCAGACGCGCACCATTGAGTTGAGTCCTCCGCGGCCTAGAAAAGCCCTGGAGTCATTCGGGCCCTTAGAAGCCCTGCGCCGCGCATGACGCGCACCATTGAGTTGAGTCCTCCGCGGCCTAGAAAAGCCCTGGAGTCATTCGGGCCCTTAGAAGCCCTGCACCGCGCATGACGCGCACCATTGAGTTGAGTCCTCCGCGGCCTAGAAAAGTCCTGCAGTCATTCCGGCCCTTAGAGGCCCTGCGCAGGAGAAAGATGTGGCAGTCGGCTTCGTTAATAGTTTTCAAACCTGTGGGACATTGCTGTAGAGTCCCTATACATCGGGGTCATCTCCAAGGAAACGAACTGGGGCCTTTGATTTTTTTTGTTCGAGAGGCTCGGGCTCACCTCTCTATGGTTTCGGCGCCGGAAGAGAGGTCGCAAGGCCTGCCGGGACTAGAGAGTTTCCGGTAGCAGCCGCGGCGGGAGTGTTTTGAAGCTGTTCCTCCGGGAGAATATGTCTGAGGACCGCGCGGCCCCAGAAAGCGCAGTTTCCCTGGAAGACTTGAGTAGCTGGTCGGAGGAGCTATGCCGCCAGGAACTGCCGTCCGTGCTGCCTCGGCTCCTCATATCCTTGGCTGCCACTTTCAGCTCTGGGACGTGGAGCGGCGGAGCCGGACATTTTTTCTTTGCCCTCTTGTTGCTGGGAAGGCAGTGCCTGCTGCCGTGGTCTGAACCCTCCCTCTCCGGGTTGGTAGCGGGGTGAGCTGGCGAGCGAGAATCGTAGGTGCTGAGATTGAGGCCAGGCCTGACTGGGGCACTGGAGTAAGCCTCGCGGAACTTTGCTGGACCGTGGTTTTGGCAAGTGGTTGTGTTTTCTTCCATCCCCGTGTGTCTTCTCTCAGTTCTGCTCTTGTCAGGTGCAATTCGTGTAAATCAGATAGCTTTGCCCTGTGGCTCTTAAGAGCTGGATGAGGTAGAGTAGAAAGAACTCGGCTTTTACAATTTGTAAGGTCGTGGTGAAGGTGAATGATTCCTCAGTGCTATGAAGATAGATGGCGTAGTTCTCCCAGATCTGTAAAAGTTCTTCGATAAACAGAAACACATTTTCTGCTTTTCTCTTGAACCCCTTTCATGGTTAAAAAGGAGTTGCTTCTTTGGGTTTTTTACCTAAATCGACTGCTCAGTTTGAATTGCTTACTAGTTACGTTGTCCACGTGTAGACTCTAGTGGTTTCATGCATTTGTGGTGATAAATGCCTGAAATCTTAGCCCCTCATTAAAATTTTTTTAACATCTTCCTTGAACCCATGTTCAGCATTAAACTACACTCAAAAGTAAAAAGAAGAAAAAAGACTATTTGCAAGAGTCCCAACAGCACAAGTAATTTTTTTACAACTACATTTACTATAACTAAATATCACCATCATGTAGAAGTCACTGATGTATGCATTAGAAAAGACCTACTTGGTACCAAAGCTCCTGTTTAGCCATTGTACAGATGAGGACTTAGTAAAATAGGACTGTCTTCAGGACCTATGACTTAGAAAAATAAAAAAGCCATCTTTAAAAAAAAATCATTTTACTGGGGGCTCATACAATTCTTATCACAATCCATACATCCATCCATTGTGTCAAGCACATTTGGACATTTGTTGCCGTCATCCTCAAAACATTTTCTTTTCTACTTGAGCCCTTGATATCAGCTCCTCATTTTCCTCCTCCTTCCCTGCTCCCCTCTCCCTCATGAACCCTTTGTCATTTTATAAATTATTATCATTTTGTCATCTAACACTGCCCGATGTCTCCCTTCACCCACTTTTCTGTTGTCCATCCCCCAGGGAGGAGGTTATATGTAGATCCTTGTAATCGGTTCCCCGTTTCTACTCCACCTTCCTTCCACCCTCCAGGTATTGCCATTCTCACCACTGGTCCTGAAGGGATCATCTGTCCTGGATTCCCTGCATTTCCAGTTTCTATCTGTACCAGTGTACATCCTCTTGGTCTAGCCAGATTTGTAAGGTAGAATTGGGATCCTAATAGTGGGGGTAGGGGGAGGAAGCATTTAGGAACTAGAGAAAAGTTGTATGTTTTATCATTGCTGCCCTGCACCTTGACTGGTTCATCTCCTCCCAGCAAACCTTCAGTAAGGGGGTGTCAAGTTGCCTACAGATGGGCTTTGAGTCTCCACTCTGCACTCACCCTCATTTACAATGATAAGATTTTTTTTGTTCTTTGATGCTTGATACCTGATCGCTTCAACACCTCGTGGTCACACAGGTTGGTGTGCTTCTTCCGTGTAGGCTTTGTTGCTTCTGAGCTAGATGAAAAGCCATCTTAATAAACACTGATACATTCAGTGTATCAGAGAGGAGCCCTGGTGGCACAGTTGGTTAAGCCCTTGACTGGTTACTGAAGTCCACAGTTAGAACGCACCAGCTTCTCCATGGGAGAAAAGATCTGGCAGTTGGCTCTCAAAGAGATTATAGCCTTTGTGGAGCTCTACTTTGTCACATAGGGTCAGTGCCCCCTAAGCCTCTCACATTTCTGGTAACCACTAATAATGTTTGTTTTCTATATATTTGTGTAGTTTATGTAAGAGAGAGTGTATAGTATTTGCCCTTTTGAGAAGAACTTATTTCACTCAGCATGATGTATGCATTTGAACATCAGTGTCTTCATGGCAGGCTAATGTACCATTGTATGCGTATATACACTTCGTTCTGGCTACTAGTGGACATTTCAGTTTTCACATTTTGACTGCAAAGTGCTACAGTGAACACTGGTGTATAGGTTTCTGTTTGTTTCCGGATCGTCACTTTCTCTGTGTTTATAACTAGTTGCTGGGCAATCTGGTAGGCCTGTGCCCAAGATTTTGAAAACTGCCAAGCTTTTCTACAGTGGCTGTACCATTTTACATTTTCACGAACCGTGGAGGAGGATTCCAGTTTCTCTACCACCTTTTTCACACCTGTTGTTTTCGGTTTATTTGATTATCGCCATTTTACCGGGGATGGAGTGGCACAGTGGATTACACACTTTGGGCTGCTACTGCTAACCTCAAGGCCAGCAGCTAGATCCCATCAGCTGCTCTGCAGGTGAAAGATATGCTTTCTGTTCCCATAGAGATTTGCAATCTCAGAAGCCCACTAGAGGCAGTTCTACGCTGCCCTGTAGGGTCACTATGAGTCAGAATTTACTCATGGCAGTGAGTTAGGTCTTGTTTTAGAATGGTTAATGAAGGTGCCCTGATGACATGGTGGTTAAGCACTTGACAACTAACTGTCAGGTCTGTGGCTAAAACCTGCCAGCTGCTCTTGGGAGAAAAGACCTGTTGCTCTGTGAATAATTACTGCCGGAAACCCTATCGAGTAGTTCTGTTCTGTCCTGTAGGACAGTGGTTTGGGTTTGGAATAGTCAGTAAAGGAGCGTTGCGCTGGCGGTTCAGTGGATAAACGCTTGGCTACTAACTGAAAGGGTTAAGTCCACCAATTGCTATTAGGGGAAAGATGTGGCAATCTGCTTCTACAGCTTTGGGAATCTTGGGCATTTTTACTCCATCCTAAAAGTGCCTTGGTAGCATAGTGGGTTACACATCGGGCTGGGGTTAACCCCAAGGCCAGCAGTTTACACTACCAGCCACCCTCTAAACTACCAGCCGTTCCTTGGGAGAAAGTTGAGGCTTTCTCCTCCAGTAAAGATTTACAGCCTAGGAAATACACAGGGATAGTTCTACTCTGTCATGGGGTGTACTCTGAGTCAGAATCTACTCTATGGCAATGGAATTGTGTGTTTTAATGGCTACTGACAGTGAGCATTATTTCATGTGTTTGTTGCCCATTTGAATTACCTTTGGCATAATGGCTGTTAAAGCCCTTTGCCCAATTTTTTTATTGAATTGTCTGTCTTTTGTGGAGATGTAGTCGTTTCAGATAATATATTTTGGAAACACATTAGAGAAAAGGTTCATCAAAAATGTTTCCTGATCTGTAGGTTGTCTGTTCACTTTTTTATGAAGTGTTTTAGTGAACAAATGAGATCTCATTTATCTATTTTGTCTTTTGCTGCTTGTGTTTTTGTTGTCTTGTTAAGCCAGCATTTGAGTCTAATTTCAGTGTCGTATGGGTCATTGTTTAAATTATAAAGAAGGGTTCTTTTTAAATTTGTTCCCTTTGATGAATATCTTATTGCCACAATGCTAGTGTCTTTCTTTAACTATTTATTTTACTCTATGTATCAACATTCTGACAGTTGGATCGAACATATTAGTAAGTAGAATTATTTTAATTTTGTGATTTACTTTGATGTCATTCAGATCTGAGCCTCACATATTTCAATGAACAACAACAACAAAAAAAAACCAGATCAAACCCCTGCCATCAGTCGACCCTGTGTAGGGTTTCCAAGGCTGTAATCTTTATGGGAGAATACCTTTATCTTTCTCCTGTCAGAGCAAGTGGTATGAATCCAAAGAGCCACCAAGTCTCTGTAAATTTTGTATTCTCTTCCAATTTAATCATCCTCTAATGGAGCCTTGGTGGTGTAGTGGTTATGTGTTGGTCTGTGCTTGGCATGGTCAGCAGTTCTAAACCACCAGCAGCTCTGCAGGAGAAAGACTGGGCGTTTACTCCTATAAATAACCCATTGTGGTCCTTAAGAGTCAGCATTGACTCAATAGCAGTGAGGATTTTTTTTTTTTATTGTGTCAGGAAACCCTGGTGGTATGGAGCCCAAAAGTCAGCAGTTGGAGCCCACTACTGTTCCACTGGAGAATGAGTGGCAGTCGGCTTCTGTACGGTTCAGCCTTGGAAACCTTATAGGCCAGTTCTACTGTGCTTATAGATTTACTCTTCTGAGTCAGAATTGCCTGGATAGAACTGAGTATGGCTTACTGTAACGTTGTGGCTTCTGTAACCATGAGTGAAATTAGAATGACCAAATTTCTTTAAATTGCAGTACTTAGAATTAAAGATTTAAATTTTATTTTGGAAAGACACAAAGTGTTCGATGATGTGTGTATAAGCACACTGCAAAATTTAAATTTGAGTTGTTAAACTATCATTAGATGTATATGTCTATAAAGCAATATGTAATCTAGTTAATAACCCCTAAGAAGTTTAGTCTTATTTAGGTAATTTCTAAGTTGTAAAAAGTTGATTTTTCATTTTGAGCTGTCTTTTTCAGTGTTACCTGATGTTGTATATACTGTTTTAGGCGGAAGCAGAGGAGCTAGAGAATACAGACTGTAGACTAATTTATTCATATATTTCCAGTTTGCTGCATTTTACTTGGTTAAATATTTGTACTATATAATTTTGACTCATTTACTTGTTGGCCTAATATTTTTTCCTGTAGCATAATTATTTTTATCCTGACTATAAAAGTTTTACATGTTCAATGCAGATAATTTGAGGCAGAAAAACACACCAAAAAATAGAAAGTCCACTCATCAGAAATGACTGTTAACACATTGGTATAGAAAATTCTCATCTTATTTCTGTACATCCCAGTGAGCCAGTTTAATTTTGTATTTATATATTTATATATATTAAAATTAGGAGCAGTCTGGTTTGGAACCTTTTTTGTTTAATCTTAAAGCATTGTGAATATTTTTCATCTTTTTACTTTCTAGTACTTGAGTGATAGCAGAATATCCAACTCAGTAAATATCTGTTTATTTAGTTTCCAAATGTTGAAAATACAGGTTGTCTCTTTTGCGGGGGATTATTATTCAATATAATTAATGAATTCTCCATAAAGAATATGAACAGTTTTAGATTGGTCATACTTACATATGAGAGGGTACCCCCCATCCCAAATGCAATCTTCCCCCCCCTCAAATTTTTCACGAAACAACCTTATCACCTTCAAAATCATACTCTCCATTATACTTAATACATTTGTTAAATTGGCGACTCCATTCTTGGAAACATTTTTTCAAACACATCTGTTTGGGTGGCTGACAGCACCTCTCTCGTTTTTTTATTCACCTCTTCTACGTTGTCAAATCACTGTCCTTTCATGTGCCTCTGCATTAGCAGAAAAAAATAGTTGCGTGGAGCAAGGTCAGGTGAGTAATGTGTGTGGAGCAAAAGAGGCATACTGGTTTTTTGCCCCAAAACAGGTGCATTGAGATGGCTGCATGAGCAGGTGTATTGTGTGGTGGCAAAACCAGTCCCCCATCTGCCACAAATCAGGCCTTGTTTGTCGCACACTGTTAAACTATCTTTTCAGAACCTCTAGGTCAGTGGTTCTAAACCTTCCTAATGCCGTGTCCCATTTAGTTCCTCATGTTGCGGTGACCCCCCACCTCCAACCATAAAATTGGTTTCCATGCTACTGAAATACTGCTACTATTATGGAATCGGCGACCCCTGTGAAAGGGTCATTCGATCCCCAAAGGGGTCGTGACCCACAGGTTGAGAACTACTCTAAGTAGAAAGCTTGATTAACAATCTGACCTGGTGGAATGAACTCCAAATGCACTATGAGCTGACAGTTTCATCCGTTCAGGAAGTTGTCTTACATCCAGAATGAGGTTCATCATCAATTGACATTTCATCTTTTTTGAAACAAGAAAATCACTCTTACACTTGAGCTTTTCCCAACATCACAAGAGTTTCTCCAGCATTTTGCCAAGCAGGAAACAAAACTTCACAGTTACACACTGCTCTGTTAAATCAGCCATCACAAAAATGAGGTTTGAGCAAAACTGCTTTTACAAAAAAATTTCATGGTGACCAGGGGGAACTTTCCCAGGCAACGCCACTGGGTACACTAACTGAGTTGCTGGATGCTCACCTAGCTGGAGAAATGCCTACTGTGAAAGTTCTGTCCAGCGGAGCTTTATTCTGGTTTTTATTTTGGGGGTTATCCCTCGTACTCTTAGATTTGGTAAAGAGTTTGTTGACTATGATAACTTAATATTTTATAAAGTAAATTACTGCTTTGCTTTGTAGAACTTCTGAAAATTATCATAGATATGTTTCTACCTCATATGAACCACGTGGCATTGGAAACGACTTTGTTTTCTCAAGTATTACCTAAGGTATATTATTATTATTTTAATCAATCTACATGGCAAAGTTTGTTACAATCATGTTTCAATTTAGATTATTCTAAATTTTATCTCTGTTTTCCTAATGTGTTGAAATATATTTTAAATACAAATAGAATATTAAAGGTAGATTTCGTATGAAAATATTATAGTGTTAGATTGATCTTTAAGCAGTTAAAAACTACTTCCAGATTTTATCCTTTACTAATTTAAACTATCACTAATTTTAAATTATTGTTGGGTGCCATTGAATCCATTCTGACTAATGGTAATTTAACAGTTTTTTTAAAAATCTTTTTTAGCATATTTGTCCAGAGCAGTACAGATTTGATTTTCTGGCTACTTCTTCCATGGCCACTGATGGTTGATCCAAGTAAAATGCAATCCTTGTCATCTTTAATATTTTCTGCTTAGGGTGGTGTTGATCTTCTGTTCATTTGTGAGGATTTTTGTTTTCTTTACGTTGAGGAGTAATCCATATTGAGGACTGTAGTCTTTGATCTTCGTCAGTAAGTGCTTCAGGTCCTCTTCACTTGCACTAAGCAGGGTTGTGTCATTTGCACATCGCAAGTTAATTAGTCTTCCTCTCTTCCTGATGTTGTGTTCTTCCTCATATAATCCAATTTCTCTGCTGATTTGTTCAGCATACAGATTGAACAAATATGGTGAAAGGATTCATCCCTGACAAACATCTTTCCTGCTTTTAAGCTACACTCTAACCCAGGGGGTCCTCAAACTTTTTAAACAAGGGGCCAGTTCACTGTCCCTCAGACCAGTTGAAGGACCAGACTATAGTTTTAAAAAAAACTATGAACAAATTCCTATGCACACTGCACATATCTTATTTTGAAGTTAAAAACCAAAACAGGCAAAAACACCCGGCAGGCTGGATAAATGTCCTCGGTGGGCCGCATGTGGCCTGCGGGCTGTAGTTTGAGGACCTCTGCTCTAACCCCTTGTTCTATTCAGACAATTACCTCTTGGTCAATGTACAGGTTCTGAATGAACATAATTAGTGTTCTGGAATTCCCATTCTTATCAGTGTTATGATTCACACAGCTAAATGACTTTACATAGTAAATGAAATGGTAGTAAACATATTTCTGGTGTTCTCTGCTATCAGCCAAGATCCAGTTGACATCACCAATGATATACTTTGTTCCATATTCTCTTCTAAATCCAACTAAACCCTGACAGCTTCTGTTGATGTACTGCTTCAATTATTTTTGAATTATCTTCAAAAATTTTCTGAAGCGTGATATGAATGATATTGTTAGAAAATGCCTTCATTCTGTTGGATCCTTTTTTTTTTTGAATGGACACAAATAAGGATCTCTGCCAGTTGGTTGGCCAGGTTGGCGTCTTCCAAAGTTCTTGGCACTGACAAGTGAACCCCTCCAGCACTGCACTGGTTTGTTGAAAACATTTCAGTTGGTATTCCATCAGTTCTTGAAGTCTTGTTTTTCTCCAGTGCCTTCAGTTCAGCTTGGACTTATTTCTTCTGTACCATCAGTTCTTGGTCATATGTTGCTACCTGAAATGGTTGAATGTTAACTAATTCATTTTGATACAGTGACTGTATATTTCATCATCTTTGGATGCTTCCCGGACCACTTAATATTTTACCCATAGGATCCTTACGTATTTCAACTTGTAGCTCAAATTTTGCTTTAATTTTTTCAGCTTGTTAAATACTGAGTGTCGGCTTCTTTTTGGGTTTTCTAACCCTAGGTTGTTGTATATTTCATTATAATGCTTTAGTTTCTTATCTTGAGCCTATCTTTGAAATTATTCATCGCTTTATTTCTTCCTTTTCAATTTAGCTATTCCATATTCAAGAGCAACCTTTAAGAGTCTCCTTTGATAATGACTCTAGTGTTTTCTTATTTCCAATCTCTTTAATGACATTTTTATGTCTTCATGTATGATGTATATACCATCCCACTACTTGTCTGATCTTCTGCCATTAGTGTTCAATGCATTAAATCTTTTCTGCAGGTTGATTATATTCAAGGTCATATTTTGGCCCTTGTGAACTAGTTTTAATTTTCCTCGGCTTCCTCATGAACCTTGCAGAAGAGTAATTGGTGGTCTGTTCTGCAGTTGGCCCCTGACCTTGTTCTGACTGATGACCTTGAGCTTCTACATCATTTCTTTCCATAGAAGTATTTAATCTGATTCTACTTGTGTGTGTTCCATCTGGAGAGGGCCATATATATGTTCTTGTATTTTAAAGCTATTAAGTTAAAAATTGGAATGGGTGACGGTCTAAGTCCAGTCATTTTATATTTTCTTTTTAGTTTATTAATAATTGTTAGATTTTATTTGGAAAAATGGAGTTAAGCATTTTAAAAGAAATATTTACTTAAATAAAATTTATCAAAGAAATTTCCAAGTTAAAAAAGTTGGAATATTGGTAAAATATGAAGTCCATAGATTGTATTATCCATCTTATTATTATATATACATGGACATTTTAATATATAATACTTTAAAAAGCACAGTGATGATGTAAAAATGGGTTTCTAAGTTTGACACATAAGCAAATAATCCTTAGGATTCCTTTTACTTAGATTCACTTGATTATTATCTTACTGAAAAGTTTTGCAGATTGACTTTTGACTTCTGAAAAAGTCTAGATAACATAGATAAAACAAACCCTTAGGAAACAATATCTTCTTTAATTATATTATGTTGACTGTGTTGTTATTCTTACAGTATTTACACCACTTAATTTGTTTAGAAGGTCTAAATATTAAGATTATAGCATAAGTTTTCACAGAAAAAAGCTTCGGCCACATATTAAACTCACATAAGAAGAGTGTTTTGAAATGCTCTGAAAGCACAAGCAGTTAAGAGTATGTCAGTGATTCAGCACCAGTTCATTACCACTCCAGGAAATACCCTTGTAAATGCTTGTGTGAATATTGTTGAATCAAGAATATCATCATTCATTCTGCAAAGAGCAACGTTTACATTTCTTGTATCTAAAAACAACCCAACTTTGATGTTTTTAAATAGATCAAATTATAGAAATTAAAAATTCAGTTTCTGTTTGAGTTTATATTTTTAAGAGATTGTGTTTAGGATCCTTTATTTGGTGCCACTGTTACTAGACAATTAGACAATATCCTAAGAGTGTTAATTAATATGAAATCAAATCATCCTATTCTGTTCATGTGCCTTTTTTGGGGTTGTGTGTTTTCTTTAAATATGTCTCCTTTTTAATGATTTCTACTCTGTATAACTTGTTTTGCTTCACAGACTGTGAAATTATTTGATGACATGATATATGAATTAACCAGTCAAGCAAGAGAACTATCTAGCCAAAATTTAGAACTCCAGAGCACTCTAAGGAACATTTTACAAGTAAGCCAACTATATTGAAGAGGGAGGTAAAGCAAGTTAAGAGTGTGAGGATTTTATTTTATTTTTTTAATTGTTTTATTAGGGGCTCATACAACTCTTATCACGATCCATACATGCATTAATTATGTAAAGCACATTTGTACATTCATTGCCCTCATCATTCTCAAAACATTTGCTCTCCACTTAAGCCCCTGGCATCAGGTCCTCATTTTTTCCCCCTCCCTC